TTAATACACATGACTCTTCCCAGCGCCATCTCTTGATCTTTTTTTAATTAATTTGGCGCGGGAACACTATGATAGCCTATTACTATTATAGAAACATCTCCAAGTTTTATCAGATAAATATATTGGTTTCGATGTTTTCAGCATTGACTTCCTTAGTAGTGTTTCGTTAGATTTCAATTATAATTATTTCCCTCTTAAATATTATTTGTAGTTCTTAATGTGCTTACTTTTTTGATTTCATCTTTGACAATTATAAAAATATGTATGAAGTTCGGGTTACAGAATACTTTGTATCTTGAAAGAAAATTCAATTGAGTTAAAATTAGTTAGTCAAATCTCTACATCTTTCTTTGTTGTTAATTCTTTAATCTATTTGTTAGTTATTTACTTTGTCGATATTTCAAAATTATATATTATCAGAGTATCAAGATAAGAAAATTCAGCCGTATTGTAGAAATATAATTTTTTTTTTAAAAATTTTTGCAAGTCATAATACCGGTAAATATTTTGTTTTTGTTAGAAAGCAATTTCATTATCAAATAATTTTGTTATTAGTAGCATTTTAAGTTGTTTATTCTTGAAAGTTATGTTGTTTTTCTTTTTTCTGTCGGTTTTATTCAATGCTTTTGTTTGTCGTCGATAAAATTTGTGTTTCATATTAATTTTAGATATAACTATTTATTCTTTTTCGCTACTTTCAGTAGCTGTTGGAAGAATCTAAGAAATTTTCCTTTGAGCGCGAAACCTTTTTTCCAGTATGCGGTTCATATCCCTACTGCTCTGCAAACAAACCATATTATCCGCGAACCATGCAAAAGAATGTGCAAACAAGACTTCTGTTGACAATGTAAACACGGATTCCTTCCTTCTCTAAACATTCTTCGACTTTCTCTCGAAATCTTTACTTCGAACAAATATAAGATTTTTCATTCAAAACGATATCCTCGCCGATGCCTTTTCGCCCCCCGGGAGTCATTTTCGAATTTAATTTCTGCTGCACAATTTTTACTCACGTTGAGGATAGCAAATATGACAGAAGCTAAAAAGCTGTTAATAGAATTCATGGGTTGGCTTCCGTCTCTAATTCTACTTTCTGTAAGTAGATAATTATTATCGTCATCAATAATGAACACTTTATTTTCTGGCAGACGATTTTAATTAGTGATTTACTGAATAAATAATGATCTTGGCTTTCGAATTTTTGTTACTGAAAATTCTTAAGAAGGAACCCTTTGTTTATTTCATTTCATTTGGTAGGTATTTTTGTTTCTTTTCTAAATTATACTTTACGTGATTTAGGTTAAATTGATTGAAAGAACCTTAATGTATTTTATTTGAAAAGAATTCTTAAATTTTTTTACCGGTGAAATTAAACACAAGCACGTATTATTAGTACATTGAATTGTAGTTATAATGAGTAAGAGTTGGCAACAAGAAGTGAATCATTATTGATACATTTGTTTAGAAATTGTTTACATGTAAGAATTAATTAATGTAAGGTTTTCATTTTTGTAATCTAGCTTTAATTAAATTCATAAATTATTCATCTCAGCTGATAAGGGCAATATACATATATTTTTTTATAGCGATTGCCCCGAAAAGACCTCGATTTTAAAATTATAATTTTAAATTCTTAATTATTCTTGTGTATAAAGGAAGAATCTTAAACTTGTTTGAGAAATTGTGTTTATAATTAGCTTGTTTAAAAACGTTATAGTTTAGGTATCTATGGAATAGGATTTCTCAAGTCCTCGGGATGGAAATTTTACTCTTTTTGGTTTTTACCATTTTTGACGTTGTGTGTCAAAAAGGATATTTTAAAATATCAAGCTATAAACGGTTAAAAACTTATTGATTGAGGTTTATTTATTTTTTTAAAATCAAGTAATTGTATTCATGATTCTTATTACTGGAAAACTCTAAATCTAGTTTTTAAAGAATTAATGTTTTAATCCATGGATTGTCTCATTTTAACATCTACCCTCAGGTTTCGCATACGATTAGTTGTTTAGGATTATCTTTTTACAGCCTTTCCGTGCTCTGTTATAATTAGACAACGTTGAAAAAAAAATGTATGTCGAACTTAAAATCGAAAAATATGGAGTTGTAATATTATAACTACATATTATATCCAGATATATGTAGTATGTTATAACTACATATTATGTACATATACAGGGGTCTGTTTAGAAGAAATTTGGGTCCGTTAACGGACCCTTCACAAAATATCTTTTCATAAAAACACCCTTCACAAAATATTTTAACTTAAAAACGAACCCTTCACAAAATAATTTATCTTTTAATCGGACCCTTCACAAATTTGTTTATCTTCATTATTGTTTTGTTAATCGAATAAACCCTTCCCAGGAAGGGGGGGGGGAGAAAAACCGATGTAAACAAACTAAATTTTGTCTTCGGCAGACGCTTCTTCCTTTATTCGTCCAAAATTAATATTCTGCGTTCAGCAGTATAGGCTAAATACCAAATATTTGTATGTTGCATTGCTAATTTAATAGCTGCAATTGCTGTTTATTTTTTAAAATTTAATTTTTTTAAGTATAATTTTACAGTGTTGAGCATAATCTTGTATGTCTTTACAATTTAAAAACTCCTTGAAAAAGTTTTTTTTGCAGTAGCGGACCCTATTTGCACAAATTCACAAAAGCGGACCCTGGTTGAAAGAATGTGACTTAACGTTTACTTTATATTCACAAATTATGAATAGTTTTTTCACAATTTTACAAAAACGGACCCTTCACAAAATGATTGGGTAGACCCCTGATATAATAATATCCAGGGCACGTTGAAAGTATTTGAAATAAATATATTGTCCCACCAAAAATAATTCACGCGATAATCAAAATAAATAAAAACCCTTTTTAAGAGGCGATAATTAATATCTGTCAAGTATGTTTATAACATTCAAAGTTCTGACGATAAACTATATTCTCTCTGCAAATAGTCTTAAATAATACGCTAATCAATCACCTCCTTATGTCTCGCACTAATTCATATAATGCAGTATTTTTTTTATTTTTTTACCAATCATTTTATCGTATCTTTGTTCAGGTTTAAAGGGTTAAATGTAGGCGGCATTTCTCTGTTGCATCCGTTTGTTGTCCGCCATTCAAGCTCACAGACTTTCTGCATCATTGGCGATCAGGGCGAAATACATTAGTTCATTTCTTCTAAATTTACGATTTGACATTTTTTATGGATATTTTTCCTTTCTTAAGTCACATCTGACAATAAAGTTCCATACTTCTTCGCCTGTTCGTCTCTCCAGACTTGTATTGCGTCACGATATTTCCCATTGTAACCAACGGGTTAAAAAACGCCATAATCGATTGATTGAAAAGTTGACATATAAAAAATCGTAAATTTTCGTTCTCTGGCTAGTGGTACCATCAGAAAAGAATTCATGAGTACGAAAAAGGCTGAGAAAAGATATAAAGAAAAGAATGTCTTTTTTGGGTCATAAAAGTTTTTTTATGATCATTTTGGAAGGAGTAGAGGGTTTGGAAGTATCATTAGGGTTTTAGTAAATCTCCGAGCTTTTCGTCCATGTTAGCTAATGTCTCCATGGTAAGTCGGGATTGACATATGACACTAATTTGGTTAATTGCTAGAGTAACATGTATATTGCTAATAAGTATTAATATTTTATTTTTCTTAATTAATTTTCCTTTGCAAATAATCATTAAATTTTTTTTTAGTATTCGCTTGCTTAATTATATGTAGTGTATTTGCTATAATTTATTCATTTTAATATGCATTTGGCATCATTTAGTTTTTGTTTCAAAACAATCCATGCTACTAAAATCGATAAATCTAAAGCTGTAAAACTCAATATCATTTCCATGTAGTTTGATTTGTTATCTACTTAAATGATGTTATGATTTCATTATTTTTTTTTAAAGAAAGTAAAGTAATTAGATTTTTTTATCTATTTGAATCAGTATTTATTATTTTTATTTATTTATTGTTTTTTATTAATTATTTATTAATCACATTTTAGGAACGTCAGACTCGGTATTTTCAATTTAATTGTTTCAAAAATGCAGTTTAATTTACTTAAACCTTTCACAATTTTTGATACTTTGCTCAATATTGTACATTAAAGTTATTCTTGATATTTTTTACAACTCTAAATATTTTTACTAAAAAGTAATTTAGGGTTGTTTAATAGAATTATCAAATTGCATGGAATTGTTTAAAAATTTCAATAGCTGAATGGATGATAAATATGTTATCTGAGGAATTTTTTGATGTTTATTCACTTTTTATTAATTTTCTAAAATTCAACCTATCGATTTTCAATAAAGAATAATCACAGTTAAGCTTGTTAGTATCAAAGATTTTGCAGAAGAATGGATTTACTGCAGAGATCTTAGTGAAAAAAGTTACGGATAATAAAACCAACAGATAAATTGTACCAATCTTCAAAGATTGAAGAAATTTTACTTTTAATATTTTTAAACCCTAGCAGTCCGAATATTTCACGAGTGCCTTGAAAATGGTCATATTGACCGCTCAAGGGTATTGTAAGTGTTATTCAAAGCAACAAAGGTATTTAATATTTATGTGTAAATAATTCTCCTTTCGTAATTTACTTTCTATGCATGCTTATATAATTTTTTAAGTTAATGAATGTTATTTTTGTAAATCAATTTCTTATATGTATTCATGTTTCTTATTATCCGTAACGCTAGCGGATTGGATATTTAACTTGAGTGTTTCCAATCCGCTAGCGTCGCAAAAATTCTTTGTAACAGCCACACCAAGCCGTGTATATATGTAAGTTCTCGAGTGTTTAGCTGCAGACAAAAAACTGCCTTGAACACGCGTTTATTTCTTTTACAAAGAATTTTTCTTTTGACGAGACTTATTTTTATATATGGCCTGGTGTGGCAGGCCGGTAAATCGGCTATTTAAAAAAAATCGCGATAATTTTCTGAATTTTTCATTCAATTTTTTGATCTGCTCTATATATTTTGCAGATATTTGGGTCCAAGGCAGACCTGCAGCTACACACTCAGATTCATATGCGCAATGCCAAACCATACAAGTGCTCCCAATGTTCCAAGACATTCGCCAACTCTTCGTACCTGTCTCAACACACTCGCATTCACCTGGGCATCAAACCTTATCGCTGTGAGATCTGCCACAGGAAGTTCACCCAGCTCTCTCACTTGCAGCAACACATCAGGACGCACACAGGAGACAAGCCATACAAGTGCCGCTATCCGAACTGCAACAAGGCTTTCTCTCAACTCTCCAATCTTCAATCCCATTCACGGTGCCATCAGACGGACAAACCATACAAGTGCAACAGCTGCTATAAGTGCTTCACGGAAGAGGCAGCTCTTCTAGAACACATACCCAAACACAAAGAATCCAAGCACCTCAAAACACACATATGCCAGTTCTGTGGCAAATCTTACACACAAGAAACCTACCTCGCCAAGCACATGCAGAAGCATGCGGATCGCATGGACAAGCATGGCAGCATGATGAATTCTCTGGTGCTGGGACCTGCCATGGCCTCAGTGCAGCAGTTTCAGCCAGACGTTCTGTGGCAGAAAGCCATACACGCTAAAGTGGTCGAAAATGTGACCAATCTCGGTGATGATCCTGGAGGTCCGAATTCTTCCGTTGCGGCGATGGCAGCTGTGGTCGCCTCCTCCCAAAGGCGCTTGGACACGAGCTTACAGTCTCACTTGATGGACCCTTCCAGAATGTCTCAGCAAGTCGACAATGAACAAGAGAACCGTATGAACAACAACAACCAGAGTTGTGATCGAGGTGGGGAACAGCAGCACCACAACGACCTCATGTCGTCTAGTCAAGGACTGTACGACTCTCAGCCGACCATGACGATAGCGAACAACAACAAGTCCTCATCGGCTTTCACCCCAATTCAGACCGGACTTCTCCCCATTTCTTCAGGGGCTAACCAGCTCAATATTTCTGGAGCATCATCTGGTAGGACATATTTTCCGTATGGAGAGTCAATTAATTTTAAGAATTCTCATTCATCTGAAGTAAAGTCAATGCATGCCTCATTCCCTAATCAGCTGATATCCTTAAGACAAATTAGAAGCTATGCTTCTATGCCAGGGATAGGAGCTGGTGAACATCCCATTAGTCTAAAAGGAAAAGGACCTAATTAGTGTATATTTTTTACTCTGTTCTCAGAGATGTTCAGTATTTTGCTTGATCTCGTCCCCCCTTCCCTCCCACGTAGTTATGAACAATTGTGCTTCGTTCAAGAGAAACTGGCTCAAGTATTTTCATCAATCCAAAATGAGAACTGCCTCACTTTATGCTTCGTTTGAAATTGCGGTCGTATGCACGGCGTTTTTATATCTGTAAAAAAAAAATAATAATAATAATATGATTCAAAGTGTGCTAGGAATTATTTTTTCTACCCATAGCTCAAGTGTGGTTTGTGGAACATCTTAAATTGTTATTTAAAAAAAAAAGGATAAACTAATCAGTGAAGTTCAGCAACGGGCGTAGTATTATGAAATTTGCCCTTTAACCACCAATCATTGAGTAGTTTAGTCTTCACATATTGAGTAAGTGAAAAAACAAAAAACAAAGATGAAACGATTGGTGGAAGAGCATGTTAAGTGGCATTTTGAAAAACACAAAAACATGTTTTGATCGACTGTAAGTATGGAATGTTAATTTGTTCTACCATGTATTTAAAAAGGGTAGCTCTCAATAAAATAAAAAAAACAGTCTTTTTTAAAGCAGCTTTCAGATGTTTAAAAACTTACTAAGACTGATTTCATAAAAATCACTCCACACTTTCTTCCACTAACTAAAGAGATAGTGGAAGAACATGTGCGAGACATTTTAAAAACATTCTCCTTTCTAAGTTTCTAAATCTTTTTTCTAATTTATCTATATTATAATCGGCTTTAAGTGTAAAACAGTAATTTATTTTCCACTATATTTAAACAAGACAGCTTCTAATTGTAAATTTTGCTTTATAAACAGCCCCCCTCATATTTTTATACACACTAAACCTGATTTTTACGTAAGTCACTTCACACGCTCTTCCAACAAAGAGATTAGTGGAAGAGCATGTTAATATGTTCTGTTGTATTTTATTAACACTCACTTTTCTGAGTTTAAATACATGTTACCATCAGTGTAGAACATTTATTTATGCTGCAAATTCTTTTAATTTTAAAATATGTTTATAAACTGCTTCTGAATATGTTTAGTTCATTTCCTCAAATTGATTAAATGTCATTTAACATTTCTTTCCACTAGGATTTTCAAACGTTTCATCTTAGGACACAAATTTGTAGGTGTATATAGAGCTATTTAAGGATTCATTATTTTAAATGCTGCATTTATCTTTGAGAAAGTTTACTTAATTTATTATCGTCGATATTTTTATGGAGAAAAAAAAAATTGATTAACTCATCTCATGTACATAATTCAATCACCTCATTAAACTATGAACATGTTTTTAAACTGTGCATTTATGTATTAGTAAGGTTACTGAAATTTAGTATAGATTTGTTTCTTGTTTAGTATAATTATTCAGTCAGCCTGTAAGGCTAATATCTCGTTTTGAATTGTTGTGTATTTTAAATGCGGATTCAAATTCGTAAAATTGTTATAAATGTGGTATTTATGATCAATTGTTTAGTTATATATCTGTTTGTTAAAAAAAAAATTATTCTGTGAATCTTTTTAGTGTTTGTTAATTGGTATATTTTGTTATTGCACAGCTAAAATTCCATGAAATCTTTTTGTATCGATATTATAGTATGCTTAAAATTTGAATTTATTTAATATTTTGATTTGTTCACGCATATGAAAGTGATATATAAAATGCGTGATTCAATTTTGACTGAAAATTTGATGGAAAAATTAACCAATACCCGTAGCTGAGATATATACAAACCTTCATATCTATTGTACTAAATACCTCTTTAACTTAATTACCTCCATAAAATTAACGAGTATTTAATTTAGTACTAGTGTGGAAATGCTGATGAAAGTAAATTATTTTAGAAAAAAAAGAGGAAATACTGACCTCTATATCTAATATACTAAATACCTCTTAATATGTTAAATACCTCCTTAAATATTTTGCGGTGAATGAAAATACTAAAATAAATAATAATGATAATTTTTCAAGAAGAAATACTGACCTTTATATCTAGCTTACTAAATACCTCTCAATATGTTAAATACCCAGATAAATATTTGAAAATATTAAGAAAATAAATTTATTTTTCAAGAAAGAGGAAATACTGACCTCTATATCTAATATACTAAATACCTCTTAATATGTCAATTACCTTCATAAAATTTGACGAATATATAGTACTTGAATGAAAACACTGATCAAATAAGTTGATTTTGCAAGAAAGAGATTTAAACTGACCTCTATATCTAACACAAAAATGCCTTTTACTAAGTCAAATACCTCCATATAATTTAACGGATGTTAAGTATTTTATGAAAATATTGAGTAAGTCGATTAATTCTACTAGAAGTGTAACAACTTATGTAGTCCAATTATATTTATCTTTTGCTCAAAGTTTATTTTATTGTTCTAAATTGTCTGATGGTTTCCTGTTTATACTTGCATATACATATATTTTAGCCTTCGAATTCAAATTTTGATCAAGTTTTATTAATACATTTTATAAAGCATAGAATATATCGATGATGAATTTATACTAAATAATTAATCATCGTAATTGTATAATTGCAAGTTGAATTATTGAATAATTGTAATTAACTTTTTCTTTTAAATTGATACATTTTGGCATAATATGGAACAATTCAAAATTAACATTTAAAGATTGACTGACAATAATCATACGGTCAAAAATAAAAGGTGTCACAATTGGAATTTTAATGGTACTGATACTGTCAGTATAAAACAAATACCTGTACCATATGAAAAATAGATGTTTATAGTAATTACTGACACAGTTATCTACTTATCTTCTACAGTAAATTATACTTCTCTTCTCTCTGATTCAATTAACGTATAATTCCGTGTAATGGCTGACTAATTATGCAACTTTTTCTTAATCAATAATACGGTGATTAGTTTATATCCGGATTCCCTTATTAACGAGAAAGTCTCAAAAATGAATATCGAATAATAATGATTCAATACAGAAAATAAATTTCCAACTGATTCGTAATTTCTCTATACACTATAGGACTCTGGTATTACAGATTGATAAGCAGTTAAGTTATTAATGAAAAAACAACCACTCTATTGATTGTTTTTTATCTTTCACTTTACAAACACCGGAATTAATATCTTTATGTTTGTCCATTTTTGAAGAGAAAACACAGTTGTGAATTGAACAAACAGCAAATCCATAAGTAAAAACTACACTATTAGACATTTTTTCTAAATTTCACTTAATGAAATGTATAAAAACTTTAATTGATACCGTCAATATTTTTTTTATATTTAATTTGATTAGACTACATTCGTAAAAGTATGTACTTTTGTTAACATTGATGTTCAACGTCAATATTTGAATTTATGGCAATCTCGTTTAAATCTTCTTGGTTAATTGCAACCTCAGATGAGATCCAATTTAACGTCATGCAATATACGCTTTTACCTGTTTCTTTGGTTAATCATACTAAATGTGCATAAAAATTATTATGATTTCAGCATTTTGACATCATCTACTATTTTAAGCTCATGTAAATCCAAATTGTGCAAGTTATGAAGAGTCGATACGTTTGTATCGGTCATTGAAATTTAGAGAATTGACACAAAAAAAAAATTACATATTGAAACATTTTTCAGAAACAATTAATGCCAAAAAGTATAAAAAATTTTTCACCGAACAAAAAACGTAAAAATATCGACGTTTATACAACCATTAAAAAAATGTTTCATTAGCGTTTCGTTACACCATTAAATATACAGTGTTAAAGACCTTCCAAAAACAAAAATTTTAACGACACATCTATGCAACGTTTCTGGAATGTTTCCAATATTGAATATTTAATTTTATAAACCAAGCATTCTTTTTTTTTTGTGATGCGTAGCACTACATTGACTGAAAACTTCATACTTATTAACAATCTATTGCTTGGAGGAGTTAAAGGACAACTGTATGAAGTTGCCAAAATGAAGTAATTCAAAATTAAACCGATTCTAAATTGTACTCCTCAGACGTGTCCATGCATGCAATCAGTTAAAAACGCAAATAGCGGGTATGAAATCCGTCTACTTAAGTATCAGTATGATGCAGATAATACATGACCTCAGCTAACTGTACCTCAAGCTAACTCTGTTCGATTTAGAACATTTCAGGGTATTTCTTCAGGATTTCTTTTTAATGCGGGTTTTGTTGCTTGTAAGGGTAGAGTGCCTTGGTAGCAGCTCTATGTTGGCCATAGATTCATAGAGTAATTCTTAATTTAAAAAAAAAAAAGAAAAATATTTCTGTGCAATTTGTAATAGATAATTTTCTGGTATACATCGTTAGTGTGGTGATCAGATCTTCTAAACTGCAAGTCGAAAAGAAGTAATATTTGTTCTGGATAAATGGTAATCGGTTCAAAAATAAAAATTATTTAAATATAAATTTATATAAAATAATTTCAACTTTTTACTAGATCATACTAAAAATCTGCCTAGAGAAATCCTTAAAACTTAACTGCAATATTTAAAAATAGTGTACGTTTTATTTGGCTTCATACTTATTATTGGCTACATTGGTGAATTTGCCTGCGCCAAGTTTGGCAAGATATACGCTGTATCTTCGGTAAAGAAATGTGAACCCATATTATCAGAGAACAGATACTAAAACGTATGTATTCTAAATTGGCGCAAGTGTTTATCGACTTATTGATGCATTTTATGCCAATATTTTTCTAAAATCTTAATGTATAATGAGATAAATAATACGTGATAAAAATTTATTACTCATTTTTATGGTATTTCTTGAATTTAATTTTGGATCTTTAACAATTTTAATTGTCCAAAATAAAATTTCCCGATGGATTTGCTGGGCTGCGGTGATTAATTTTAAAAATACTGGATTAAAGGTATGAGATATGATCATGCTTTAATGAAAACTAATCGTCCAAGTTTTCTTAGTCGTTTAAGTTAACTAATAAAATTTTCGTTAAAGTATTCAGTTTTCGAAATATCAATAATAACTGTGTCGGATGCAGTTCAGTCGAAGTGCAGTACAGTACTGTATCGAATTGCAGTTCAGGACACCTGGTCACCTTCATCATTAGGGACGAGATCTGGAAAAAAAACCCGGATGAGATCCATAGTACAACAAATTTTACTATCTCATTTGCGCTTATTGCATAAACCTCTGAAAGACTGAAGCACTAAGTTATTATATGCATTATAGACACATATGTTGTGAAGTTCCCATTTTTAAGAAAATGAAAGAAAATAAAAATAAAAACTTGTGTGTTGAAGTTCATCATAGTACAAATACAGTTTCTAGGACGCACAAGTTTTGGAAGAAAAAACATACAGGACAAGAATATAAATATATATACTATAAATGGACATCATGTCCACTTCACATGATATATCTCACAAATCTTTTCGAAATTTCCATGCCTTTGTTCTTTATGTATTTTAAGTAATAAAAGGTTTTATATATCTGATTGTTTCATTCATTTTATACTCATAAATTCACATATTAAATGTACGTGCATAAAAGTTTCCGCACTTTAAAAAAAAAAGTTCGGAACTAATAAAAATGTTAGACATTATTATGTGAAGTTTTATCGAGATTTTCGCGGAGTTAGCGTTGTTTAAAGCATCGTAATTCTTGGTTACATAACAATCACGCCACTTTTGAATGTCAAATAAAGAAGTAACATAATATTGTACATATAAGTTAAAATATTTTTCCATAAAGGTTTTAAGCATCTTTTAGTTGGTAACAAAAACGCATTTAATATTGTTGACTTTTTCAATTGTACATGAGAAATTCAAAGTTTAGTTTGCGTTTAATGTGTTGTTTTATCAACGGATTTGTTTTGTTTGGTAGATAATAATACCGTATCTCTCTATGGTACTTACATTGTTATTCTTCAGGGGTTTCCAACTTACATGAGGCCGGGGGCCGCAATTAAGAACACCACTCAAATGGCGGGCCGCAACTTAGTCAAAATTTTATATAGGACTCTTTTATGTTTGAAGGAATAAATATTACTGTCAGATTTTTATTAAGTTGTACAAAACAAAAGTATTGAATTACAAATTAAAATAAGAAGTAGATTTTTAAAAATATTTAATTGCATATTAAGAAATTCTGGCTACAACAACTTTAATGTGCGCCTATGTTTTAAACAATTAATGTGCAGCAGATATCAAATTGTTAAGATATAAAACTTGAAAGTATTTAAAGCCCATATAGATTTTTCAGGGGGCAGCCAGATGGTAACCACTGTTTTATAGCCTTATTATGTTATCACTTAATTGAAATTAATGGGTTAGACCAGCGTCTGCCAATTTTTCGGCTATGGAACTCTAAATGGTTCTTTCGGCGGAACCCCGACTCCTTTAAACCCAGACGATTGTGAACACATTAACCAATAAATGACGATTGTGAAAATACTAATTTAATAAAATGGCCGTGGTGGCTCAGATACAGTGCTTACCTCGCAAAAAGGTACCCGAGTTCGAATCCCAGCGATGGCTGATCTATACGAATTGCACACCCGGCTCACGCTGACCACTTTGGTAGACGGAGCATGGGTTAGAGTCCCCGTGCCGTCAGGCTAACCGTGGGATGCAATTGTGGTTTTCCTCGCCATGTAACGCGAATGCAGGTTACTTCCATCATAAAGTCCTCCACGAAGGCAAATTTCACGAAATACTTGATCCAGGAGTTCTCTTGTCTTCTAGATTGATTTCAAAATTATAAGATTACGGAGTTAAACATAGGTAGTCGCAAACTCAGTATTATGTGTGCTTGTTCAAAGATGGTTATAAAACTTTATTTTAATCGTTTTATTATTAAATTATATTTTCTGTCCGACAGTATAATTCTTAGTACTGGAACTGAATATAGTCTAGTTATGAATTTTTTTTTTTTTTGTGCATATACATAAATTTAAAATTAGCGAAATAGGCGAGATTATGATTTTCTTTGAAATGAAAAAAAAAAATGGCTATAAACGTTGAAAATTATTATTGCAAAAACATATTTCTTGATTAACGAATTCACTTACTTGAAAAACGTTACATTGATTTGAAAAACGTATTGGGATATTCTAGTGCAATGTATTAAAATGCTTGTTCTTTTCATAATTTATTCAATATATTGTAGCTACTAAAATTACATATTTTTTTAACAAAAAAAATTGCTATGTATTTTTAATCGGCATTGGACTTTAAATAATTTCATACAGGCAACTGAAATATTAAATAAGTCCAGAACTCTCCGTACCCCTTTAACTCTTTTTTGGAACTCTAAGGTTCCGCGGAACACCATTTGGGAATCTGGGTTAGAGCAATGGTTTCCAAACTCAGTTCCGCAGAACCTTAAGGTTCCTTGGAAGGGTCGCAGGTCAGCTTTTTTTTCTCATCTTTATAGTTATTTTTTTTAACTTGTTAATTACATTTATATTATTCAATTAACCTTGATGGCTCAGGGGATTGATCGTTTGCCCTCCGACGAGGTGAACGGGGTCTGAATCCCAGTGATGGCTGGTCGATACGAATTCCGCATCCGGCTCGCACCGACCACAGTGCTGACATAAAATATCCTTAGTGGTAGACGGATCACGGGTTAGAGCCCTCTTAATATCAGGTTAACCGTGGATGTTTTTGTGTTTTTTTCCGTACATGTAACGCAAATGCGTGTTAGTTCCATCAAAGAGTCCTCCACGAAGACAAAATTTCTCCCAATACTTAATTCAGGAGTTCCCTTGTCTTCTGGATTAGTTTCGGAATTAAACGGCTGTTCAACGACGGTTATGAAATATGTTACTCAATAATGTATTGCTTGTTTAATTTTTCGGTAATTTTTTAAAAAAAAAAAAGTATTTCAGTAAAATTGCAATGGAAAAAATTCTTTAATGTCAATGGCTATCAGCATTTGCAACAACGAAAAACTAATTCAGAGCTGGAGAATATAGCAGCCCTGCGAATTCAACTGTAGTGCATAAAATCTAATTTTATGAGTATTAGTAATCAAACGATGAAAAATTTCATTACTCACAGTAAATATTTTCGAATCAGCGGCTTTTTGATTAATTACGTTCGCAATTTGCTAAAGAAATTTATTAATGAAGATAGGGTTCCACTAAAAGATGAATGATCTCTTAGGATTCCCTACACTGCAAAAAATTCCGGAACCCATTTTTATCAGAATATGATAGGAAACAACAAATGTGATATATTTTTACTCTAATAATTACCGTAAAATTACTGTAGTTGAAAGGTTTACTGTAAATTTCGCGGTATAGTATTTTACGGTAAAAATGACGGATGATGCACCCAAAGTGCTGGTAATTTATACCGGAATTTGATCCGGAACTTTTTATCTGTAGCCAAAACAAATTGGGAACCAAAAGGTTAGAACAGCTGTTCCCAAAAGGTGTACCAGGGAACCCAAGGGTTTTAGAGGTTTCGCAAGTTAGAATTTTCTTTTTAAACCAGTAATTTTTGAAATCAGTTATTTAAATAATTTCAGCGATCTATTATTTATTTAGTATTTGAATGTTTTATATCAAATTATTTTAGTGAAATGCTTATAAAAAGGCATCTATACACATTTTTTTTTCTAATAACAATATTGAGAATAAATTATGAAAAAGAATACGCATTTAGAATAGTTTCATTATTTTTTTCCCTTTAAGCTTTTTAAATTCCAAATAGAGGAACTAAATTCAATAAAAATGAAATTTGCTTCCCTGATAATTGTTCTCAACAAAATGAGGTTTTTTTTTTTGGTTTTGTTTCTATTTCAACAAAAAAACACAATTCAGCTTATTTTATTCATTTTCTGCTTCTGTATACACTAAAAACCGTATCGAGGTCAGCAAAATTTAATTGTCTAACTTAAAATCTAGTTTTAAGACTATTATTAATACCGCAACCAAAAACTTGCAATCTTCCCATTTTATTTTATTTTATAGCGGGCGAACCGGTTCTGAATATCATCAATTTTCAAATTCGTAACCTGGTAATTTTGAACCCAACGCAGAAGACAAGGGAACCCTTGGATCAAGCATGCTTTCTTGGAGAACTTTTTAAGGCAACTAAGCCTCATTTGCGTTTCATGGAGATGAAAACAACGAAAAACTTCTAGCTATAGGGCATGGGGATTCTAACCGATAATCCGTCTACCCTCGAGGATATACTTATGCAGCATTGTAGTAGGCTCAAACCGGCATCAGAATTCGTATCATTCATCCACCGCTGTGATTCGAACCTGGATTACCTCATTGGAAGGCGAGCTCTCTATTCCCTGAGCCACTGCGGCTCCAATTTTCAAATTTTATTTTAGCACGATTGATAAAGAAAAGCCAGAGCATGAATCTTCCTTCGTACATTGCATTAAATATTTTCATTACATTAATTATTACATATACATTAAATATCTACAAAGTAATTAATAATCTTTTGTTAGTTAATATGCTAAGAATTACTAATGAATTTTATTTATAAAGTTGGGGTTCTGCTAAAGAAAGGTTGATCGTTTTAGGGTTTTATAGTGGGGAAATTTTTTTTTAACCGCTGCATTAGGGCATCAGTACGTACACAAATTTGTTAACCTGCATGCTAATACCTAACTTTATGATAATATTTCTTATAATTTTCCAACATTTAAAAATTTCGATTCAAACTCTCAACCTCATACCTAAGAAGTCATTTTTATCCTCGGATAAAATAAAAGATATACACATATCAGATAACTATGGCAAAACACCTAGCCCCATATTTAGGGCTCTATCTTTTAACGGCCGTAGTAGGAATCCCATGTTATTATGACCCTGGTCAGACGACGTGGTCATTGTTTTGATTGTACCCTTTCCAAACTTACACAACACAATCCTTGCTGTACACAACGGTTGTTCTGAACTGACGACAGTTGTTTTGAACGACGGTAAACTAGAAAATATAAATGCATTAAAAAAAATAAAAACTTTTGCCAAAACTATAATAATATGGTAAAAATTACGGTGCTATGGGAAGACCAAAAATCGGTTATTTTTTCTTACGTGCTTTGGTAATTATTTCGATGAAATTAGCATTAAAATATGGTTTTATTATATCTGATAAAATGTGTATCTGTGGTAAAATTTTGTAGTTTTATCATGATACCTTAGAGCGTGACATGAAAGCCATTTATTCGGTTGAATTTACTTTTCAGTTTTGTATTTTTAACTAAATGCGTGGTAATAGGAACTATATATACCGCATATATTGGTTTGAGAATTTTGATTTATTTTACCAAAAATGTCATTACTATGCCGCACAGTAATTAATTTTACGAGAATTATTTTCTCCGTGCAATTAAGGGTGTCTGTAAATTTCCTATTCTCATTTACGCTGTTCGCGTCCTAGCGTTCACACTTCTGGCGTTTTAAATTGCTTCCAGTAAACAGATTTACTAAGGTTACTAGTTGAGTGTTAGTTCCCAGAT